TTTTTTTAAAAAAATTAAAAATTTGGATGAGGGTGAAGGATGTGGAATAAAGTGAATGTAAAGCAACATTTTATGTGTATGAATACTGCTCTATATGTGGTGTGAGACAAAAATCAGTTTTGAATATATATTAGTAAAGTAGTATTGTAATGTATATTATTATTAGAATTATAGAGGCTTAAAAATAGTTTTTAAATTAGATAAACAGTTATTGGTATAAGGGTATTCAATATGTATAAAAAATGAGATTAACAGTGAAAAGCTAGGATTAAATAATTTGACAAATACTTGAAAGATCATGATTTATGGTAGAAGTGCATATTGAAATATTGAATAATGAAAAAAGGAAAGATCATGTCTTTGAATATTACAATGATAGGGGAAGGGGGATTAAAGGGGGGCTAAAATAGAGGTAGAAACAAGAGGGGAAAAATAGCAAAAACAGATGTTAAGATGATACAATGTATGGTAGAACTATGAGAAGGTTTAGAATTGAAGGATATTAGAAATTACGTGTTAGCAAAACTAAAAATGAAAATTAAATGTAATTAATAGGAATATCACTGTTATGTTTATTGGTATTGAACTGTATGACACCCAGGAATCAAACCAGTCACGCAATAAGATGTATAAAAAAAATTTATTAATAAAAAAACAAAAAGGATCTTACTGCCCGCCCGGTGTCTTTTTGCCTGGGGATACTTCAGACATTTGGGCTGAGCATGTGCTATGTGGAAGTCTGTGGCACGATGCCCCCTCCAAAAAAGTCCTCTGCTCAGCCTATCAGGCCCAAGTGGACAATGACTGAATTCTCAGAACGAGCCCCTCTTTTCTTCTCCAACAAGAGCAGCTTATGGTAGAAGTTCATAAGAACAGACTGCCATGTGAGGTGGGCATTCCAGCTCCCATCCAAAGATCGATAAAGGCTCTTGTGAAAGGCCCACTTCAGATGCCTCTTTGCCAGAAAGCGGAGATTGGGGTCAACATCTTTCTGTCATGGATCAGTGGCCTGCATGGCTGTTTTGCTGGTCTTGAGTGTGAAGAAAAAGAGTAAAAAAGCGGGTCAGTTTTCACAAGCCTAGTGTGGAAATGTTTTGAGTCACCAACCCCACAGATGCAATGAGGTATGGAGGCGTTGGTGACTGGAGCCCTGGGAGCCTCACCATGTGACACGATGCCATTTGGACAGGAGGAGTGGAAAAGTCTGCTGTAGGAGTTCCAGAGACCTTGGAAAGGTGAGATAATGTTGTGGCACAGCAGTCAGTTCCTCTTCAGGAAGAGAATTGGGGGGGGGGGGCTCCTCTGGGAGAAAGGAAGGTCAGAGAGATGAGCTCCACTTAAGACCTCCGAGGGAGCTGCCAATAGAGAGCCCCTGGTTTTCAGGGAGGGGAATTGGGCAGAAGTCTCTGAGGCAGGTCCCAACCCAGATGTGCAAGGGGTCCAGGAGCTCCCAAGTTGTAGAGGCCCAGCAGCATCTGGAGGGGCTTTAGAGCGCTGTAAATCGGGAGCCTGTTTGGTGCAGGGGTTGAAGTACCAACCAGGAGACGGTGAGTTCGAGTCCTGCCTGGCACACAAAGCCAGATGGGAGGCTTTGGGAGAGTCGCCCACTCCCAGCCACTTCCTAGGAAGGAGGCAATGGCAAGCCGCTTTCCTTCTGTTCCCCCTCCCCATATTCCCTCCGGTCCAAGTCTGGGCTGCTTTCTTGTCTTCCCTCTCCCCACCCTTCTGGAGGAACTTTTCCCTCAGGAGGGACGGCTGTGGAAATTCTCAATTGTCGCTCAGGGCCTTTTCAGCCTCGCGGGGGGAGGGGCGGGCGCAGCTCCACCCATCGGAGGAGGGACTAAACGGAAGGAGGAGGAGGAGGAGGCTCTGGGGGCGTGGTCAGCGCAGCAGCATCTTCCAGCAGCAGCCTCGCCGCCGCTCCTTCTTCCAGCCATGCCGGCCTTCGTGGTCTCCACCAACGTTTCGCGGGACGCGCTGCCAGAGGGGCTGCTGCCCGAGCTCACCGAGGAGCTGGCCAAGGCCACGGGCAAGCCGGCGCAGGTAAGGGGCGGGTGGGGACACGTGGGGGGCTCTGGGCGCGGGCCGAGCGTCCTCCTCTCTCCCTTCTTCCCTCAATATCTCGCTCTCTCCCCACCCCGCGCGCAGTACGTCTCCGTGCAGGTGAACCCGGACCAGGTGATGTCCTTCGGGGGCTCCAGCGCCCCCTGCGCCATCTGCAGTCTCCACAGCATCGGCAAAATCAGCGCGCCGCAGAACAAGGCCTACAGCGCCATACTGAGCGCGCTCCTGGCAAAGCGCCTGCATGTGCCCGCCGACAGGTAAGAGGCGGTGGGTGGGGGGGGAGGAGCTGCCTCTCCCTCTCACTCATTCCCGCTTCTTCCCCGCAGGGTCTACATCAACTTCTACGATATGGCTCCGGCCAACGTGGGATGGAACGGCTCCACCTTCGCGTAGCGCCGCCGCTGCCGCTGCTGCTGTGGGGAAGAGGGGGGGAGGGGAGGGGCAATAAAGGTTTCCGAGCAATCCGTCCGCCTCTGCCTCTGCGTGAAAGGGGGGCGGGGCTTGGGAGGCCTTCTGGCGTCATCGGGACGCGCCGCCGACAGACATGGCGCTTTTCTCGGTTCGCAGGTGAGGCCGCGTGGTTTGGGCTCCGCGTAGGACTGACCGAACCGGCCCGTTTGGAAGGAAGATGGCTGGGCTTCTGTAGTGGGTGTCGGGCAAACGCTCTGGGTCCTCTTAGGAGCTCCTGGGGGGAGGGTAGCCGTTCTCTGAGGGGGCGGTCACTGACGGCGCTTCGTTTACTCGGTGGTCGAATTCAGCGTGGAAACAAAAACCCCGTCAGAGCCTCGGACGTGCGCCATTAAACATCCCTCGAGGGGTTGTTCAAACGTTTAAATCGCTGAAGGTCGGAAACAACCAAAACAGCGCACTTTGTGCCCGGGTCGAGAAGATTTCGAAATCTCCGGTATACCCTGGCCAATTGGGGGCAGGGGTTGCAAACTAAGCAAAAGCCCCAACTTGATCCGACATCCATTAAGCTCACTCGCTTAAGGCGAGCCTTAGAAACAACGGAGGAAGCGATTGGCATAAGAATAGGAATATTCAGATGTTTTATAATAACGTCTATAACGGGTGTTTTAAAGTGCAAGCCCTAATGAAATCTCTCAAAGAGTTGCAACATTCCCGGAGGTCAATTTCAAAAGACCACACTGGTTTGGTTCCCCACATGTAATGTCCCTTTGCATTACCACTTTCTAGGTGCAAATGAAGACCAACACCAGCTAAACAACTGGCAGCTGTGATTATATTTCATGTGTATAACAGATCCTCCAAGCCAGCTGATTAAGTGATGGCTTCTGCCTTGCACAAACTCTTCTACTGTTACAAAGCTTCAGATAACCACCTCCTTCAGGGATAAAGGAATTGCAATCCTCATCACCAAAATTGGGGATGATGGGAGCTGTGGTTCAACATCCTTTGTGGTTACTGATACAATTGATTTATATTGCTTGTCTTTTTTCTCCCAATTTTTAATTTGAGTTTATAAAAATTTAAATGTTATACTTTTTCAGCATGTTTGTGTGATGTTTGCAAGATGTTTGCAATATCCCATTACCACATGACATCATAACTCATAATTACAGGGCACAATTACAGTCATAACTCAAGGACTACCTTATACATCTAATACAGGTGGTCTTTGACTTCCAGGCATTCATTTAGTGGCTTCAGAGTTATAAAGGGTACTGAATAAAGTAACATGACTTTTTTACACTACCATTCAACATGGTAATGTGATCAAAATTTGAATACTTGGTAAGTATTTATGATGGTTGCAATATGCGAGGATAATAATCCTTTGTGGCCTGGTAAGCAAAGTCAATAGGGAAGCCAAATTTAACTTAACTGCAACGATTCACTTAATTTGCAAGAAAGGTCATAAAATTGGGCATGATTCAACTGTCTTGTTTGGCAGCAGAATTATGGCTTAATTTGTAGTAATCATTCTACCATAGCAAGATTTGAGCAGCTTTTGATCTTGGGGACATCAAGGGGCAAGAATTTACCATCTTTCTTTCTGGATGGGATGGCACTGTCCCAGATAGACCTGGTATGCAATCTAGGGGTCTTTCAGAACTCATGACTTGTTCAGAGAGCAGGGGGCAATCGCGACTAGGAGAGCCTTTGCCTTCAGGTGCTATCATAGAATGTAAAATAGGGTTTGGAGGGACCTCTGCCCATGTCAGGATACTATTCCGCTCTAGCTGTGCCCATTCTTGGACCAGGAGGCCCTGTTCACCGCATGTTGAATATAATACATTCTGCATTGGGTTGCATTTTGAAAACAACTGGAAGCTTCAGGGTTGCAAATTGTGGTGCTGGTATTCATGTGCACAATTCAATCTACTCCGCGACCTGCATTAGCTATCAGTTTGCTTCTGGGTTTATGCTGACAATGATCTATAAAACTATATAGTATGGTGTTTTACCAGCCTTTCAAATAGTTCTCAAAATGTTTAAACTACAGGTGAAACTCGAAAAATTAGAATATCGTGCAAAAGTTCATTTATTTCAGTAATGCAACTTAAAAGGTGAAACTAATATATGAGATAGACTCATTACATGCAAAGCAAGATAGTTCAAGCCATGATTTGTTATAATTGTGATTATTATGGCTTACAGCTCATGAAAACCACAATCTCAGGAAATTAGAATATTACATGCAATCAATAAAACAAGGATTGTACATAGAACAATATTGGACCTCTGATAAGTATAAGCATGCATATGTACTCAGTATTTGGTTTGGGCCCCTTTTGCAGCAATTACTGCCTCAATGCAGCGTGACATGGAAGCTATCAGCCTGTGGCACTGCTGAGGTATTATGGAAGTCCAGGATGCTTCAATAGCGACCTTCAGCTCTTCTGCATTGTTCTGTCTCATGTCTCTCATCTTTCTCTTGGCAATGCCCCATAGATTCTCTGTGGGGTTCAGGTCAGGTGGGTTTGCTGGCCAATCAAGCACAGTAATCCCACGGTCATTGAACCAGGTTTTGGTGCTTTTGCCAGTGTGGGCAGGTGCCAAGTTCTGCTGGAAAATGAAGTCAGCATTCCCATAAAGCTCATCTGCGGAAGGAAGCATGAAGTGCTTCAAAATCTGGTAGATGGCTGCATTGACCCTGGACTTAATGAAGCAAGTGGACCAACACCAGCAAATGACATGGCTCCCCAAATCAAGACTGTGGAAACTTCACACTGGACTTCAAGCATCTTGCCGTGTGTGCCTCTCCATTCTTCCTCCATACTCTGTCCTTGGTTTCCAAATGAGATGCAAAAGTTGCTCTCATCAGAAAAGAGGACTTTGGACCACTGAGCAACAGACCAGGTCTGTTTTTCTTTAGCCCAGGTAAGACGCTTCTGATGTTTGTTGTACATGAGCGGCTTGACAAGAGGAATACGACATTTGAAGCCCATGCCAAGGATCCGTCTCTGTTGGTGGCTCTTGATGCACTGATTCCAGCCTCAGTCCACTCCTTGTGAAAGTCCCCAATGCTTTTGAATGGCCTTTTCCTGACAATCCTCTCCAGGCTGAGGTCATCCCTGCTGCTTGTGCACCTTTTCCTTCCACACTTTTCCCTTCCACATCACTTTCAATTAATGTGCTTTGATACAGCACTTTGGGAACATCCAACTTCTTTTGCAATTACCTTTTGAGGCTTTCCCTCCTTATGGAAGGTGTCAATGATGGTTTTCTGCACAACTGTCAGGTCAGCAGTCTTTCCCATGATTGCGATTCCTACTGAACCAAACAGAGACCATTTAAAGGCTCAGGAACCTTTTGCAGGTGTTATGGCTTAATTAGCTGATTAGAGTGGGACACTTTGAGCCTAGAATATTGTACCTTTTCACATTCTAATTTTCTGAGATTTTGGATTTGGGGTTTCCATGAGCTGTTCCATAATCATCACAATTATGCCAAATCATGGCATAGTTTAAGCCATGACAAATCATGGCTTAAACTATCTTGCTTTGATGTAATGAGTCTATCTCATATATTAGTTTCACCTTTTAAGTTGCATTACTAAAATAAATGAACTTTTGCAGATATTCTAATTTTTCGAGTTTCACCTGTAAATGGTCAAAAATTAAAATGCCAGTTTGGAAAAACAATATAATCATCAATATAATGATATGTTTTTTAATTATGTCTGAGTCTCTGATTTCTGTGGGCCAACTCTATCCACGTTTTTGATCTTGTACAACTTCTTTCAGTTGTTTTAGATTCTGGCTGGCATTGGCTTTGATGGTGTCTTGTCATCCTAGATTTTGGTAGCCTCGGTTTACTTTTACCACTGATTATCCTGAGCATCACTGCATAACTATCTAATAACTAATAAAACAAGGAAACTTCAGTTGAGATTCTGCCTCAGAAAATTCTTTTTGCATGAAATCAGTAACCCTTAAAAGTAGCATATACTGCTCTAAATCAAAAGCAAACATGAAAACTGAGGGAAGGTAGCTAAAAAGTTGAATATTCAACTGAATGTTAAATGCTTGGCTTTTCCTCGCATCAAACCACAAAGGATGAATAACTTGTGTATGTATTAAAATAACTTTCCTCGGGAAATCCCCAGGTACGTTAGTGATGAAGAGGATAATCCCGAAGGTAAGTCCCACTTGCTCTTACATCGACTGCAGGAGCAAGCAAAGACTCGGCAGCTGCAAAAACAGGAGCAGAACTGGCCTACTTCTGGGCAACAAAAGAGATTGGCGCCTGGAACCTTTGAAGAAGAGACCAACGAGGAATTAAAGCAAACAAGCAAAAAGAAGAAAGTAGGTCAAGAAAGTCTTTTAGCCCAAAGTCACAGAGCAAAGGACCCAAGACGATATGCTTGTGGAGCAGAAAGTTTGCCCAAGAAAGGAGATGACTCAAGTAAAAGTAAGAAGAATGGTGGGAATTCCAGAAGACCTGAAAGAAAGATAGAAGCAGTTCAAGGTAAAACAAATTCTGATTTTGGCTGGCTCCTGGGGCAGGTTTCATTTGGATACTATGAAGGACTGTTAATCTTTAGAGCTGTTTTTCAGACCATTGAGCAAAGCATTTATTGCATAGTTGCAGCTTCCCTAAGCAAAATGCAACAAACTTTTTTTTTTAAAGTCAAACATTTTTTATTTTCCATTTTCATAACGTATAATCACATGTATACTATTACATAGCCAATATCATATTGTACTAATTATTAATTATATCAGTTCGTATTGCCATCAACTCCCGGAGAGAAAAAAAAAATATTGGCTCTTCTGCTCTCCATACACCCTGTTTATACCTTATCCACCCCTTTCTTCTNGTAGATTTGGGGTTTTCATGAGCTGTAAGCCATAATCATCACAATTATGACAAATCGTGGCTTGAACTATCTTGCTTTGTATGTAATGAGTCTATCTCATATCTTCGTTTCACCTTTTAAGTTGCATTACTGAAATAAATGAACTTTTGCACGATATTCTAATTTTTCGAGTTTCACCTGTAGCATGTCTCCAAATGAAGATGCAAATACTATGGAAAGTTCTCTCTACTGATTTTTTTTTCTAATTTTCCCCTAATATTTTCTCATCTATTATGACTGTGATAAACATAACAATAATTAGGTATGAGTATGATAACAATAAGAACAATAATTTGACATATTTTATTAGTACAATCATCTGAGAGGTAGATGTGCAGTACCTCCATTTGACAAATAAATCATAATCATAGACAACAGTGAAAAAATGTGCTCATCGTGGCTTTGTTCTCACTGTCTAGCCCTCCTCTTGCTTAATATTGTCTTTAAGATGTTCTTGCCCCCTGCCATCTTTAATTATACAGTTGTTAAATCCCATTTTTGTTTTCTTAACCAGGAATTTTTCACAGTGAAAAATGAGTATGCCCAGACACAGGGGCATAATTTAATGAGAACAGAACAAAGGCTGGAGCTGCATGTTGGAGATCAGGCCTAATGCAGTAGAATAGAGGGTGACTGAACTAAATAAAATGCAAGGCATTAAAGATGATTAGAGGATACAAAACAAAAACTCTTGAGCAACAGTGCAAGAAATGAACAAGTAGCAGAATGAGAGGATGCCAATAAAAATAATTATTTTTTTAAAAATTGTAAATTCAACCCAGTGAAAGATTGGCTACATTTTGAATGAGTTCTCTTTAATTTCTGCAATGAGATGAATGTGGACTATCATTGAATCTTAACTATTCAATGATATGCATACACGCACGGACACAGTATATAGCCTGTTATTTACTCTGCGGTTGTTTGCTTTTCTCTACTTTTGGGACAAATAAATGTTTAGATACAACTTTAAAATGAAGCAAATCCTACACAAACAAAAGAAAATGCAGTGATTTACTGAGTAGTAGTTTCCACTCTCTACAGCAATTTTCTGGAACCTGGTGCTGTCCAGAATTCTAAATGAATATGATTGGGCTAGGAATTCTAGAAGTTAGCTAGGAATTCTAGGAGTTGTGCTCCTAACTCATTTACACAGCTGCTGAATTTGGATGGCCTCTGTAGAAAGTGCAGCTCGCTAGTCACCTTTAAAAAGAACAGGGCTATGTGGCTTTTCCATTGTGATACTCTGTTTTATAGTGGTCCTTGCTTTTCTCAGATTTGCAATATGAAGCTGAGTAAGAATGGTATGGAGGTACCTGGAGACCAGAGGTGGCATTCAGCAGATTCTGACCAGTTTTGGAGAACTGGTGGCAGACATTTTGAGTAGTTTGAAGAACAGGTAAATACCACCTGTGACTGCCCCCCCCCCATCTATTCTCTGCCTCCTGAGTCCCAGCTGATCAGGATGAAATGGGGATTTTGCAGTAACCTTCCCCTGGAGTGGGGAGGGAATGGAGATTTTATAGTATCCTTCCCCTGCCATGCTCACCAAGCCACACCCACCAATCCATGCCATGCCCAGCAAGCCACGCCCACAGAACCGGTAGTAAAAAATTGAAACCCACCACTGCTGTAGACTCGGAATCACCTGATTCACCTAATAGTGAAGAGACAAGCATATGGGCATGATTTTCATTTGAGGTTGGTCATTCCTCAGACTTATTCATAGCAAATCAACTGATCATGACCAATGAAGAAGAATGCAAATGCTCAACTACCCAGAAAGTCTGTTTCAGGGCCAGAAACGATGTTTGTACTAACATTTATCTGCACATCTTTGTATTTTAGCTTGTCTCAATTTTTACTGATATATACAGACTCATACAGGGATTAGGATAGAGAAGGGATATTTTATTGTTTGACTCTGAGAGGTTGAGTCCTTACTGATCAGGAGGGGATCCAGATCTCCTCTCAGCCCATCGTGAAATTGTATGTCCTTGTGATTTTCAAACGTTACCACACTTCTGTTTTTTGTATTATTTTTGCCTCATCAACATTTCCTCATTGGCTTCTCCTCTCCTCCTGTTCTCCAAAATAAATTTGGTTCCTTTTATAGACCCACCTCTGGGCTGTTCCTCTATTTCCTAATGTGGGATGCATTTAGAGCTCTTAAATTGCTTTAAAATATGTATATATCGCTCAGTATGGCTTGTGAATCTTTTTTATTGTCACTGCATATAGTTTGAGTTCTCTGCTGTTTTATGGTTGATTACTGTATTTTAATATTTCACTGGCATGATAAACTATACAGACAACTTTGTTATTGGGTAGACTGCAAATACTCTTAATAAATAAATGATATGTCCCTTGAACATTTCTTAACTTTTCACATTTCCCTGCCTTTTTATGCCTCATCTATTTAACTATAAACAACATTAACCATCTGGTACTGTCATTTTATATAGTTATCTATTTTTACTGTTTACAAAGTTGATACAGTTTTATTTTTTATCTTTGATTTATTTTCCCCATGTATCTTTATATTACTTTTCATTAGGGCAGTATTTCTGATATTAACAGGAAGCCTTGCATTCTTTTTCTTATGAAAACAGCATTGCACAAAACTTGCTCAAGAATAAGTACATTTTGTCATTCTGGTTTTTTAAATTTTTTTCCTATTTATATTTCTGTAATACATTTTTCTATCTCCCCTGGCTTTATGAATCTTCTACATAACTGGGTTCTTCTTTCTTTCTTTCTTTCTTTCTTTCTTTCTTTCTTTCTTTCTTTCTTTCTTTCTTTCTTTCCTTCCTTCCTTCAGTCTTTCTCCCTATCTATCTATCTATCTATCTATCTATCTATCTATCTATCTATCTATCTATCTATCTATCTATCATCTATCTAATCTAGTCTGTCTTCATTAAAACAGAGTAAAAATCAACAAAAACAGACAGAATTTAAAAGCAACAACCCCCAAAATAACATAGAAGTAGCAGTCAAGTACACTAATAAACACTCAAATGTACAGTGAAATAATTAATTGAATGAATATAGTTCTTTAACTCATTGTAGAAAAATTAGTGAGATTCCTCTCCATAAATTTCTCATTTTTATCAAAAGTCTCAATGATTGTCCTTATTCAATATCTAAATTTAAAACAACGATCCCAATGAAGGTTGGAATGTTAAGCAAGTTATTCTGCTGGCTCTAACCCAAGCTTGATGGGCTGGATGATGGTGGAAGGAGTTGAAATTAAACCTAAATAAGGAGGAAATTATGATAATAAATAAAAAACTCCCCTTTCCATTGCTGCTTCAGGAGACACTCAATGTGGTTGGATACCTATCAAAATGATCAGGGGCTGAATTCATTGGTCTCTAAAAGGAACCTACAGCTGTTTCAAGACTCAAGACTTCTTGCTATTTCTAGACCTCTCCCTAATATGTTGTTTTCATTCTTCATATATTGATACGTGATGGAAATATAGAATCTGAATGAAGAACTGTTCTCCCTCTGGCAACAGTTGTATTGATTGTGTGACAAGGTCAGCTTATATTCCAGAACTATAAGGAGCATCCTGGGCATGACGATGTAGAAGTGAGAGTCACTTTTGTGCCACTGGTCATGTATGCTGGTCAACCAGCATAAATCTGAAGTCCTCAAATGATTTCAGTTCTAGCTGGTTATTAGGATTTTAAGCATTTTTTAAAATATACTCTTGAGTTTGCAATTGTCTTCCTCTTTCTATATTTCCCTTTATTTTGCAACTTTTAGATTGTAAACCTGTTGGCCATGACAATCTTACTGATCATACATAAGTTTTGTAGGCTTATGCAAGCTTTAGATATGAAACAGAAATATGTCTAAAATGATTGATAGATGTTATAATCAAAGTTATATATTTTTAAAAATGATTTTACCTCAAACTACATGCGCCAGTGCGCGCACACACACTCCCATTCATATCCATAGATATCCCATTCATATCTATATATATGAATGAGACATGTATGTAGACATGAAATAGATCTATAATTGCATTACAGAACCAATCCACCATACAGAAGGTAAATATTTATTTAGATCCCCCTTGGGGCCTATGATTACAAATCTGCTGAGGATTTACAAAGGCTTAATTGGTCATATATCTGGATTCTAAATAAATAGCTCCCCACCATTCTTTCTGTTTTAATGATGCTGCACTGAAGTATATTGAGTTTTTGGGCAAACAAGAATTTCAGCATTTACTCTTTCTAGTGGTTAACCACAGCATGGATCTGGCTTTGCAACTCAGTCTAGCGAATCTCAGAACCAGACTGACTTGGTGCCATGTGTTTAACCATGCCAGTTAGAGATGCCACAACTGCATTTGTCCTAAATGCTAAACTTGGTTAGTTTTAATCTTGATTCCCACTTTTCCTTTTTTTTTTTTACATTTAGTGTGTTGGACAAACCCTCAGCATGCTAAATATTGCAATATTTTATGATCTGCCACATAGTGCAAATCCTGAAAATTGATTAATTCAGTAGCCAAATTA